CAATCAATTGATGCACGTATTCAATTTGGAATTGAAATACAAATGCAGTTAGAATGATGTACCGAGCCCGGTGCATGCAGGACAAATGTATGGATGCACGCATGCATAACATAAGGTATGCTAATTTAAACATGCCCTAATACTAACCACCAAAGCAGGTAAATAAAAGGGAAGAAAGAAGTGGGGATTGGAAGACATACACACCACTCACACACACTTATTACAGATTTGCCCTCGCCCGGAGGGACCAAATAAATAATACAAATTAATTAACTACGCAAGCTAATTAAAAATTACAAATTGCCTAATCAGTCAACAAACTAATTTAAACTAGGAAAAGCAGTAAACCGCCTCGGGAGGACAGCCAGATGTAGCACATGCTCAGGTCCTGCTCGGAAGTGCACGGCCATGCATAGTCTGCCTCTGTTTTCCCTGCTCTGCCTCTCGGAAGACTGCCAAAGTCTCAAGGATGCCTCTCTGGATACTGGGAAGCACCACCGGCTGAGTAGAATTACCACCGGTAGTGAATCGTGGTCACCGGTACAAAATGAATCCATCGGCTGGTGATTTACTGCCAGTCGGCAATGTATACTGCCGGTCGGCAAAGAATGCCTGCAGAACCTGCAACTCACAGCAGCAGAGGACAGAACTTGCATGGCAATACAATTCAAGCAATGTATGCACCAATCATGTCCCCTATCATGTTTGTGACTCAAAAGGGCATGTGTCTCGATTCTCGGACCGCCAATCACGCATTTCCATGCATGATGGCCCAAAGAATCAAGTGTTCAACTTTCATGTCAAATGAAATGCAAACCAAACAAACGAACCAAGGCCCAATTCCTATCACCAAGTCAAGGAACAAGGCATGCATGCAAGATGCAATGCAACCTAGGCATGCAAGCTAAGGATGCAACATGGCATGGCAAGACACTTATGCAAGCATACAAGAAAACATGAGGCAATGCAAACTGATGAAAAAGTGGACTCATACATGATTTAGGCAACTCTAAATAGGCCTAAAACAGCGGCCAAAAACCAAGGAATTAGGATCAAACATTCATACACACATGCAAGTAAGTTGGACCAACACTTAGGCATTAAATAAGCAACTCTAAGGCACACTTGAAAAGGGATATCATGGACAATTAGCATGCAACATAAGCTCTGAAAATCATGTTAAAACATGGTGCCAAACCAAGCAACAAGGCAAGCTAAACATGCAACAATGGTCTAAGCATTCAAGGCTCGCCAAAGAGGCAATGGACTACACTTAGTACAACCACACATGGCAGGACTTAGGCGACCAAAAACAGAGTTTTAACACATGAAACTAAGCCCAAAAGACCAACTAGATAGCATCTAGATGGTTTGAATTTAAAGGCATGCATAAATGCTAAAACATGGAGCATGCAAGGCAAGCTTCCAAAGCTTCAAAGAGGCATCCAAGGCAAACATATGAGCATGCCAAAGGGACTAAAATAACATGTAGGGTGGTTCCAAACCACCGAAATGATGCAAGCAACACATACTACACATTCACATACTTGAAGCATACAAGCTCAAATACAAAGGAGCTATACTACGCATGCCAAGATCAACCCAAACAACTATGGACAGACCTAAAACATGGCAAAATGAGCACAAAACCTTCACAAGGCTAAACCTAAAACATGCTAGAGCAAAGGCTAACAACCCAAGGCATATTAAGGCAATAACAAGGCATTACATGGTAGGTATGCTAAGTATGCATGGTGTACCAAAACCAACACACAACAAGTTTATATCATGGCATAATAAGCATGGAAAACAGCCAAGACATGATCAATACACACTCTAACATGATGCTCCCTCAAGAGGCCAAAAAGGGTCCCTTTCAAGGACAACAAGGAGAGGGGGTGGCCCTCCCCTTTTGGAGACTTCAAGGCACCATCTCCGCCACTGAAATCCCTCAAGATTTCAGTGGTGAAGAGGCCCAAACACCAAAGTCTCAAAACTTGCACAAAAATAGCACAAAAAGGAGCCTTACAAGGCTTAGGAGGGGTCAAACAAACCCAAACCACAAAACACTCTTAACGAAAGTTCTTAAGCATGAAAAAATAAGCCTATTTTTATGTTATGCACAAAAACTAAATCAGCAAGCAAGATAGGTAAAAGACTAGTGCAAGTTTGGGGAAACTAAAGCAAAATGCTCACCCTTGAAGCACACGTCAAGGACAGCCAATGCAGCCCTCTTCTTTGATCAAAAACAGCCCCAAAACTCAAGAATCAACCCTCAAAGCCCCTCAATCTCGGAGCAAGGTGTAATAGTGTGTGTATTAGTGCAAAAGTAAGGTAAAAGCACACTTTTAGACCAAGAAACACACACAAGGGAGGAGAGAGAGGGAAATATAGAGAAAGGGTGTATCTATATGTATAAGCTCTGGTTTTGTCTTCAAAGTTTCTAACCTAGAACAAGGAGAAGACCTCTCCTCTTATAGAAGTCCCTCTTGCAAAGCTTACACAACAAGCTTGCTTAGAGGGAAATCCCTCCATACACGTGTATGGAGGGAAGCAGAGTTGGTGCCAGCAATCACAGCTGGCACAAAATATCTACATAAAGTAGATGAACAGTAGTCGGCTTCTCAAAATTTCCATTTTGACAAAAATGAGTGCCGACCGGCAATAAATAGTGTCGGCCGGCAATATATATTGCCGACGGCGACAAAAACCAGCCGGTGGCCTCTGGCCATGGCCGGTGGTGCGTGGGGATGCCTCACAAGGCATTCCCTGCCCCTCCAAGGCAAAATGCAAGTGTTTGGTGCAAAACCAGACACTAAACGGTCGAGTTCGGAGATCCTGAGGCAAGGCGCGTAGCCTCCGGGAACTCCAAACGAACACAAACATGGATGATCACCGGGTGTTCAAACGGTGACGTCCAAGTCTTGAGGATGGTCAAAAATGTGGTGTCTACACATGGACTGAAATAACATTTCATATGATGCCAATCATTGAAATAAGCCAAGTAATACATGCTAGTGCTTGGGCACTCAAAGCTAACAAGCTAGATTGCATGGTAACTATACAAAGCATCACACATATGATCAAGACAATGGAAAATAGAGCTTTAGCATGTTAAAACAAGGCTAAAATCTTCTTGGAGTTGAGCCAAAATCATGCTAGAATGACATGTTACAACATGACGCATGTTAAGGAAAATGAGGGGATTGCAAGACAAGTATATGGAGCATGTAAGCGGCCATTAAACCAACTTGAAACAGAGGTATATCATAGCAAAATGACACCAAATACTTTCTGAAATGGAGCTAAAACAAGCTAAGCAAACATGCTACCAATATAAGCCATTAATACTAGCATACAAGACAACAAGGAGAGGGGATGATCCTCTCCTATTTAGGAGTCCAAAACCACCTTTCCACCACCAAAAATCCTTTGGATTTCAATGGTAGAAAGGTCATGCAAAGCCAAGAACAAGAGCCAAAAGGGATGGCCTAAAATACGGCCAAACAAGGCATAGGACGGGGTAAACAACCCCAAACCAAAAAGTGACCTTAAACAAAGGTCTAAAGCAAGTAAAAATAGAAATTTTATCAGTTAAGAGCTAAGCTTAAAACAATAAGGAAGAAGGGCTAAAAGCTTAAGCAAGAATGGGGTATTAAAAGCAAGTTTGCTCACCCTTGTAGAACCTCTTCATGAACACCACTCCAGCAACTTTTCCAAGCTTAAACCACTCCAAGAACTCTGAAACTAACTCACTAGTGCCTCAACAACAAGAGGATGGTGTATTACTAGGTGCTCTAGTGCAAAAGTAAGACAAAATCACACTTTAAGGCACAAATACACACACAAATCAAGAGAGAGGGAGATATAGGGATAGATAGATACAACTTTTCTAACCCTCTTTTCAGAACCTCTGAGAAGGGAGGAGGAGCTCCCTTCTTATAGAATTCCAAATTCTAAAGCTTCCTAGGCAAGCTAATCAAGGGGCAAATCCCTCCATACACGTAGAGGGGGGGAATTGTGGATGCCAGCTATGACAGGTGGCATAAAATATCTGCATAAAGCAGATGAATAGGGCTCGGCCAGAAGATATGGCCGATCGACCAATATAAGTGTCGATCTACCAAAAAAGAGTGCCAATCGGCCAAAACTTTTGGCCGATGGTATGAAAACAAGGCCAATGGCTTCATGCCTTGGCCGGTGGGTTGAGGGAATGGCCAACAAGCCACCCTCTTCCCTCAGAAGTAAAAACACAAGTGCTTGGTCCACAACCAAGCACAAAATAGTCAAGTTGAGAGATCTTGAGGCAAGGCGCACTGCCGAGACCTCCGAGAACTCAAAACGAACACGAGCATGGATGATGATCGAGTGTTCAAACAATGACGTCCAAGTCTTGAGGACGGTCAAAAATGGGGTGTCTACAGATACGTTTGGACCTGAGGCTGTTTGATGTATTAGGTAGAATCACGAGTGGGCCTAAGGTCGTTTGATATGACTGCTACAAGTTTCATTCATATAACTCCTTTATTTTGATATTATTCACTGCGCTATCGCTCACTCTCATTTATATGTGTGTGGGTGAACAAAGAGATGTTCAAACCCAGCCTTAGTGAAAGACATGAGAGAAGTTAAGTTTTTTACAGAGTCAGCTCGAACGTCTCACGTATGAGACCTGTTTTGTTTCTTTTGTTTTTTTTTTTTTTTTCTTGCCTTGGTGAATATGTTGGATCACCATGTACATAAGCTTTTTGTTTTTTTGACTGGATGTTTGAAAGTTCCTGGACATATAAGATGTTAATTTTGCCTATATGTGTGAGTTATCATGGAATGTTTGCTTTACCATGTAAGCGTAGCTCATCGGACAAAATTTTTGAGTCTACTTCCGGTCGGCCCTATTATTGTTATAAATTATGTCTGATTTTGATTGAGGCTATGGGTAATCCCTTGATTACTGGCCGATTATAACCTTAATCTATAGGGGCGGGTTTGGGTCATGACAAATGTACTCTGCTTTCTCTATGAAAGAATTAGGCCTTCTCAATTACTTTGTTGGCATTTCCGTTGCCTCTTCTTCTTCAAGCTATATTTTGTCTCAGCAGAAATATGTTTTCGAAATCTTAGCTAAAGATGGTATGCGTGATTATAAGCCCTATTCTTCTCCTATAGCTACTAAGGTTGCTACTTCAAAGGTTGATTCTCCTTTTTCTTAGCCTAGTCTTTATAAAAGCTTAGTAGGCGCTCTTTAATACCTTACTCTCACTTGACCAGATCTCAATTTTACTATCAATCATCTTTGTTAGTTTTTAGAAAACCCTTTGAATAGTCATTTTGCAGCAGTTAAAAGACTTCTCAAGTATCTCAAAGGCACATTGAGTCATGGCCTTCATTTCACAACTGGCCCTCTTGTTCTTAATGCTTTTTCAGATTCAGATTACGCTGGCAATGTTCCTGATAGGAGATCCACTACAGGGTATTGTGTGCTTCTTGGTCCTCATTTAGTTTCTCGGTGTACTAAGAAGCAACCCACTATTTCAAGATCTTAATCTGAGGTTGAATATAGAGCCTTAGCTTAGGTTTCTGCTGAATTGAGCTGGCTTGGCATGCTTCTTATTGAACTCCATGTGTTTGTGTTTGTTCCCACTATATGGGGTGATAACTTGTCTTCCATAGCGTTGGTTCATAATCTAGTTTTTCATGCCAAGACAAAGCACATTGATGTCGATTACCATTTTGTCAGAGAGAGAGTTGCTGCCAAAAAGCTGGTTATTTGTCACATTACTTCTACTAATCAAAATGCAGATATTATTGCTAAACCTCTCTCAGTCTCTAGGTTTTAATATCTTCGAAGTAAACTTGAAGTCCTGCCATGTCCCCAAAGTTTGAGGGGAACTGATAATATACCTAATGATCAAGAAGAAATGTTGAGCCTAGATGGCAGTCACGGATAAGGACACATATGGATTATTGTAATAACCCGACCCTCGTACATGTTTTTTGATATATGTTCAGTCCCTTATTCTATGCATTTACATGCTTATTGTGAAAGTTCATGAGAAATTAAGTTTAATTAAGTGAATCTTATAATTATAGATCCATATCTGTTTAATAAGAAAACATATCTGTCACAATTAAAATGTTCAGATCAGAAATTGAAGACCTTAGAAGCTTACTAATCTGAAAATGAATGTACATTTATGATCAGCATAATTTTTACATAATAATAAGCATGTTTGTAGAAATTCGATTTGGGATGATTAAATTGATAGAGTTTTGTCCTATTCTACTTTTAATATAAATGTGAGTCTCTTGGAGCAATTGGGTCATTTTTGGACTTAAAGCCATTACTCTAGATATTTTGGGGGAAAAAGAATTAGAGAGGAAGAGGGTTTGAGAAAAAGAGGTCAAGTTCTTCAAGAAGAAAGATTGGGAATTGGGAAGGATGGTAGGATCTCAAGCTTAAGGACACGCTTTAGGGGGAAGTAGCGCTCCGCCACAACACTGTGAGTAGTAGTACTGTAATTGTACGTTTACTTACCGTTAACAATTCTTATTCTTAACGCTCTGTTTTTACATAAGCAATTACGTTAACATTTATGTTGTTTGAAGATCGGTGAGAACATTGAAAGATTATGCGTACTTCGGTATGACTCTAGAACTACTCTGCATTCTAGTTATAGTTAATGGTTATTATTAATGTGTTATAACCTGTAAATTACCTAAGACTCCACACAAGAAGTATTAATACTATGCAATTAGTTAACGGGAAGAAATTATGACTATAAACTCCACTTAATGGGGGTATGATATTTGAACATCCTATCAGGAACTTCTATAGTCTTATTTGATTCGACACATGTTTTATGACATAGACATTTGTTTAGAATGGATTAACGAAATGAAAATCGGATAGAACCATGGGTTGCCTTAGATGTCAAGAATTGAATATCAATGATATTGTTATATGATTCACGTTACGGTGTGAATATGAGAGCATACTATTTTGCTACTAAGGGGCCTGAAGTTGTTTAGTATCTACGACATGAATGTAAAGGTTTATCATCATTATGTAAACCACGTTAGAAAGTGTATTGCTCTGTCTCTGTTAAGCATACTGTAATGACGATATAACAAGAAATGCTCTATTTTTTGATATGTTATGTTTCGAATCAGTAAATGACTGTCCTTATATATCAAAGTATTCAGAACATCCTTAGCACAAGGGCGTAGCCCGGGGGTAATAATATCGTGGTTCAAGTATGTATAAGTCCCCGGTACTGGAGGTCCCTTTATGGAACTAGAAGGTATGCTCTATATTGATTTATTAGCGCTATTGAATGTACCATGTATAGTCAAACATGAATTTTGATTTCTGTTTATGATTCAAGCATAATTAAGAACATGTATGACTTTGTTTCTGTTTATCCGTTCTGTTTATGTTATGCTATGACATGATATGGATTGACCGGTCTTTAAGACATAACAATTTCTGGTATGGAACAAAGTGTTGTACGGAACTAAGTCCTGCAATGCGAGTCACCTCTAGAATCCGTACGAGCCACCTCTTGAGTCCATACATATGTGAATTGAGGCCTATGGCCGTTTTGTGAAAGTTATGAGGCTTATGGCCGTTCTGTGACGTATGTGAGGCCTATGGCCAATCTGTGACATTTGGGCCTATGGCCATTCTGTATGACCTGTTAGTATGAAACAAAGTGCTGCACGGAACTAAATGCTGCCATGCTAGTCACCTCTAGAATCCGTGCGAGCCACCTCTTGAATTCATACATACATGATAAGGGCTATAATGCCATTCTGATAAGGGTTTAATGCCATTCTGATAAGGGTTTAATGCCATTCTGTTCAAGGGCTTAAAGCCATTCTGGTTAAAAACGGGGCCTAAGGCCGTTCTGGAAATAATTACAAAATAAAGTTAACAATATGCTCTCTGCACTGAATATGTACATTGTAATACAGATTAATTGTTAAATTGTTGATGTACTACTATTCACTGAGCTTGGCTCACTTTATGTTATGTTTGTTTCTGTAAGCACTCCACTTGGAAGTCAGTTTTAACCAGTGGCGTCCATTTCTCTTTTGTCAACCTCAGAGAGTCCAGGCACTTTTGAAGGCAGCTCATTTTATGGGGTTTTGCTAAGCTTTTGGTTTTGTACCCTGCATGTCTGTCTAAGGTTGAAGTGTATATAATCTCTTTACCTTTCAATGTTTTGTTATACGCCCGATCTTGAGGGCAGGGTCAGTATATATATGTACATAGCTAAATTCTCTGATGCATGTCACTATACATTTATTTGCCTTATATTTTGTTAGTGATCCTGGCATAGTAGTGATAGCTCAATGGATGTTTTGTACGTTATTATATGATATTTTATATATACAATGCTTCTATTCAGGCCCCATATGATATGTATATCAGGTTTAGTGTCCGTTTTCGAATAGGTCATGCCCAAACTTTTGGGGGCGGGTTCGGGGTGTGACAATTATACTACTCAGCTGTAGCTCAAGCCACACATGTCACACATGCCAAAGCTGCAAAATGAGCCACAACCCAAGTAGTATGAGTTACAACCCTAGTTGTAGTCTGCTGCAGCTTAGTTAGCCAAAGCTTAAAGTTTGGTAGTCTGTTAGAACTAGAGTTAGATAGTAGTTGTGGGAGCCGAACAAGTAGAAGAGTCGGAAGATGCGCACTCCAGAAATTAGATACTATACGACTTCATATTGCGTGACTAAGACACCGAATACGTTAGGAAAGCCGAATAGACGGAGATCAGTGGCTCCGAATGAAAGAAAGGATAATGATTAAAAAGTAGGCCCTGGCCCCGAGGATCAAAAAGAACAGGTATAAATACAGAAACAACGGTTATAGAAAGGTATGTAAGAATCACTTCACAAAACCTTAGAAAACAAGCTATCCTGAGTGTCTGAACTAACTTATCTGTCGGAGTGCGAATCCCGGCACCCCCGACCGGAGTGTTTGTATCTTTTCAGGTGACCAGCTGAGGATCACTAGTGTCTCCCAGGATCTGAAGAGTATTTCCAAACCACTTCTCCACAGCTGGCGCCGTCTGTGGGAATACTCAAACACATTCATGGCAGGCGTGACTGAAGATCCTCCGCTAGCCACTAACGAGACTGCACAGAGAGTTGACCTCATTCCAGCAAACTCACTTGTACCAAAAACCATCGCAGCAAGACTTGCCTCGGACCTCTGCTCATCTTCAAACCCAACGCAAAAGACAATACAAGCAACCATGGCACAAGCTAGGCAAACCCAACAGAGGTTGGACAACACCATCGCTAAGAACAAACGCCTTCGTTGCGATCTAGCCTCGGAAATAGCAAAATCCAAACAAATGGTACGCCAGGCTTCTGAGTGACCCCTGAGGGCAGATCATCTTGACGAGTTGGCAAAGGACGAACGTCTCCACCAATGCGTTCGGAGGAGTGTGGCCGAAACACCTGCCCGTCCGGAGGATGCATCTCCGCTTGACACCGTCCACATGATATACAGCCTGCCAGCGGCCCCGACCGTTCATGCAATCCAATCACATCTAGGCCACCAACAGCAACTCACGCCAGCAAAGCGACCCCAAGAAACGCCAAGTATCACCTTTGACGATTCTGATTTGATCGGTGTAACACTCCCTCACATCGATCCGTTAGTTGTTGAGCTGCGCGTAAACCGGTTCACCGTCGAACGCGTTCTTATCGACCAGGGCAGTACCCTGGAGGTTATGTATTATAAAACCTTCACCAAACTCGGATTCAACGAGTCAAACCTGACTCCGTCTCCTTATCCACTATTCGGCTTCAATGCCAGTCCAGAGTACCCATTGGGAAAAATCAGCTTACCCGTTCGAGTAGGTTCCAGAATGGTGGATGTGGAATTCTTGGTCGTCAAGCTGCCATCGCCGTACAATCTCATCATGGCGCAATCATGGTTGCATACCTTGCAGGCCGTCCCAAGCACCTATCATCAACTGCTACGTTTCCCAATAGAACACGGCATTGAGCAAATCCGCGGATCCCAGAAATTGGCACAAGCATGTTTTCTCCTTGCTGCCAGAACGCCAAAGGAACTGCAAGTAAACTCCATCGAGGTGCTGAATCGGGAGATCCTGGACGATGTTGGGCGGTATCCAAATGAGAAGGCCACGAAAGATTTGGACCGAGTTGACATTGATGGCAACCCAGAAAAGTTCTTCATGATCGGCGCCTCTCTGAATCAGGCCGACAAGCAGCAGTTGATCTCTTTCTTGCTGAACAACCTTAACATCTTTGCGTGGACTCCGTACGAAATGCCGGGAATAGATCCATCAGTTTCACAGCACCATTTGAATGTCGATCCGAAATGTAAGCTGATTATTCAAAAAGGTCGACGATCAGCCGCGGAGCACACTACCGCCGTTGTTGAGGAGGTAGACTGACTGCTTGAGCCCGGGGCAATTAGAGAAGTCACTTACCCTACGTGGCTCTCCAATACAGTGGTGGTGAAAAAGAAAAATGGGACTTGGCGAGTGTGCAT